TTCAAAATCTGATATCAAACTAGAGTTCCTCAGGCTGTCTAGATAGTATTTAAATTTGACATAGTACTTAGGCATATGCTCTATCTAATCTCACCAAAACACCTCATTAACTTTTAACATGATACTTGAAGAAAATAAAATAATGCAAATGTTAGCTTTGGAGTATATTCGAGATAGACTCTAGAATATTGTACCAAGTCATATCATTTGTCTTATCTAATTTATTAAAAGCATTAATGTCAAATTCGGTATCTCAAAGTAAAAGGATTAGGTATAAGAGTATTAAATACATTTTGTACCCTTACGTTGTGAATAAAATATCTAAGTTCATTTTCCAGTCAATATAAATGAGGTCCAGTCACATTGAATATGTGAGCAAGCAGATAAACTGGATTAGACATAATTAATCTAAATATAAATGCATTCACACAATATGCAAGATGAATTATTAAATACTATCATGCATGTTTAAAATTAAAATGAGTTTGTTAACCACATAATATAATAAATCTCAATAGAATAAGAGATCATTATCATTATTGGTAAACAATCCCTTTTAATTAATGCGAGTCCCTCAACTCCATAGCATAATAAATCACACAATCAATACGTCAATAACTTATCCTATTGGAGGAGTTCATTATTACCATTATTGAGATTCATTTGCTATTAGGTGAGCACTTCCATTAAAAAAGTATGTGGGTCCCTTAACCACTGCATGAAAAATCGGATAACCAATACGCCAATAACTTATTCGGTTGGCGAAGTTCATTATTGCAATTGGCGGGCAAATCCCATCATTTCCATATCTCTTAAGACAATGTCTTGTCTATCTATATGAAATGATTCCCGATTATGTTTAGCCTTTCTAAAATCACCCAGTGTAGACCACTCCGTTGGGGAGCTAACACTATTGATTTTAGATTGAGTGTATAACGTTATTAAAACTCTAATGAAAAATAAAATATTAAATATCTTGTCATTATAATCTAGACTCTTTAAATCATGCGTAGGGCCTTATTTTTAAAGATCTAATTACAATGAACATTTAATATTATTATTTTCATAAGATAACCATTCTTATAATATTAAGACTCTTCAAATCATGCGTGGATCCTTATTTTTAAAGATCTAATTACAATGGTTTTAATAACGAAGGCCATGGTGCAATGTATAAAAATTCCCGCTCCCACTCAATTTTTTAATCATTCATAATTAGGGTTTTAAATTTATTCATTTACATGATATAATGCATGCAAAATGCCTTGATTTTAATCCATTTAAATTTAGAAAATATTTGAACTATAAATGATTCACTAATATTTAATTTGAGGCACACTTTAAAAATAATTTACAAAAAAAAATAATTTTGTTTCCCAATAAGTGCCCTCAAATCAATTAGTAATCAAATCCAATTAATTTTCATATTTTAATTAATATAAATCAAGTCATTTAAATAAATATCATGGATCCAATGCATGAATAATAATTAATAAACAATTATCTATTCCATGCATCACATAAATAAATAAACAACAGACAGAAGCAATTTAAATGGCCAATGGATTTAGCTTTTAACATTTAATTGCTCTAATCACTGCACGAGGGTCTTCCAAATGCTTGTATATACCTGCAGGAGGTTGTAACTCGATCCAATGTGCCACCAAACACAATTGGACGCCTCAAAACCCATCTGAACAACCTGCAAGCACTCTAGGAGGTTTCCAGCGCGTGTCACGCCCTCCCACGCGTCTGCACGCACTGGGAGGAGGTCAGCACGAGTGTCACGCGCTCCGACGCCCCTCCACGCGCGTGGGGAAGTTACCAGCGCGTTCCACGCTCTGGCACGCGCCATGTGGCGCTGACTTGCCTCTGGCGCGTGAAGACCACACGCCAGTCCATTGGCGGTGCATTCCAGCCTCGAAGCACCTGATTATCTCTTAGCCTCTGATTGCAATCCAATGGCTGTTGATCCAAGCGCATATGTAATGTGCCTCACCTGATCAGCCTCCTACCTCCGGTGCTGCCCTTGACGTCGGCGACGCTCCAGTCGCCGGGAAAATGCCTAAAAAATTCCAGAAAATTAATTAAAAAATTTCAGAAATTAAATTAGGCCCTTTAAAAATTCAGAAAAATCCCAGAAAAATTCTAAAAAATTCCTGAAGCCTAATTTAACCCTCTTGAACCTCCTTGAAGCTTCATAGCACTCTTTGATGAATATTACATGGCTTTAAAAAATATTTACACTTTGAAATACAATGGAAAAAATTAAATTACATCATTGAACTTTCAAACGACTAAATCAAAGCCTTAATTACATTCATCCAAATATAAAATTACATTCAATAAACCTATAAGCTTCATCCATGGCTCAAACACACATCATCATCCATTCACAATTATGCATACATCATTATATATCAATATATTAATTCATACATCAATAAATAAATATATGCATATCAAAATTGGATCCATGAATGATGAATTTTGATAAAAACATGATCTCTAGTAATGAATCAAACCATGCTCTGATACCACTGTTGGGGAACGTGCTAGTTTTAAAAAAATTTTCGAGGGATTTTGAATCATAGATCTTGATTCATCACATAGAGACAAGTTTTATGCAAAAATAAAATATGATGTATCATTCAATTAAAGATTGAATACTTACATTAAAGGTCTGAGTAAACCTTTAAATCTTTCCTCTAAAATGAATATTCCACTTATTGTAGATCCCTTAGCAAGATGCCTTCTCCTTTGATCTTCATCTTCTTGGTAATTGTTTTGCCTTTAGGAATCACTCATAAGCCTCCATGGATGACTTTGGAAAACTAGGCTTGTGGGAGCCTCCATTAGATGAGAACGTAAACCTTAATTTTCTAGAGAGAGAAGATAGATTCATTTTTCCTTCTTCCAAAAATCACCCCAATAATATACATAGACCATGTATATTTATAGGCAACATAAAGATAAAGAAAAGGAAACAACAAATCCTTCTCAATCTCTAATTCATATGTCTCAAATCTAATATGATTCCAATATCAAGTTGGGCTATGAGTGAGAATCTATTGGGCTTATTATTTTATTGGCTACAATGAATTAATAATTGGCCCGGTCCATGAACCCAATTCAATTAATTCATAAATTAATTTCTACTCCACTAAAAGAAATTAATTGAACTCCAATTAAATAATAAATAACCTCTAAGTCAATATTGCACTTTGACCCTTCTATGCATAATTAGTTATCGGATAAATAAAGCCATCAATCCGACTACTTAATTAATATATTTATTTTGGTACCTTTAATTATTTCTGGCTCGATCACAATAAAACATTTGTTTGACAAAAATAATAATTTAAATAAATAAATATATAATAAATCATTTTGTCTAAAAACACACGAAGGCCTTCGAATTTACTTTGTGATCAACCATAATTAATACAAAATAAATACAAGTAGCAATGATGCAAATATTGAAAATATAATTCTCTAACTATTAATTACATAACTACCCAAAGTGTCGGTCTAAGGATCCCAAAGAATCCGCCAAACAAATCAAAGTAATTATTAATTAATAAAAGAGTCTATATTTTTCTCATACTTAAGAGTCAAATGCCATGACGGTGATAGGGAACAATTGCATACGATGGCTCTCGCAATATATGTTAACCTAACGCGGATCCAGTTCAAGTCTTAATTAATTATGATTCCATCCATAATTACCGACTATGAACAATTTATGATTACTATTTATATTCATGTATTGATCGCCATCACATACATATATAAATATCTCTTGTAATCAAGAGGACACTATCAATTCTATAATGAATCGAAACATAATACTTTGAATTCACTAATTGTACAAAATATAAATATTTCAGAAACGTCAGGAACATATGTCACTTTAATCCAAACAGGAATTTGCTATGCTAGGGCATATAAATCCCAACAATATATATATATATATATATATATATATATATATATATATATATATGAGATTGAAGTGTGTGTATATATATATATAGATAGATAGAGACATCCTCGACGCGTTGACGCTTCAGATCGGGGAACGAATCGGCAATTCCTTTATTGCATTTCATGGCGGCGAGATGCGACTCCGGTTACAACTAACAGGCTTGGTGACGACCGTGATATTCTGACTACGGCAAGATAATTTTTGGCAGTGGTGACGGTTTTGGATTAGCTTGGCTTGGCTTTGATCTGTGTTGGGGTTTGGTGGTTTGGGTCTTGTGTTTGGGTTTTGTGAATTGGTTTTGGTTACGGGTTTGTAATTTGACAATTAGGGTTTGGTTGGGTGAGGACAACGATGATGGGATTGTAGTATGTGTGTTGTAGGCGTTGCCGGGAGAGAGAGGATGAAGGCCTCGTCGCTGCCGCTGCTCTTCCTCCAGACGAGAGAGATGAGATAAGATCTTTGATCTTGTGGTGTTAACGTGGTGGTGTTAAAGGGCTGAAGGGGGTGGGGGCGGAGGCAGAAGCAGAGGGAGGTGGTGGATGTTACAGTGGAGAGAGGGTGGAATGATGTGTTTAGAGAGAGAAAAGAGGAAAGATGTGGTAGAGAAGCACTGTACCCAGGGGCAAAAATGAAAATTTTCAATATATAGTATCTTTTATTTTTTTATTTAAAAATAAATACTTTAATTGTAAAGTCAAAAGTGTAAATTTATATTTATTTTTTGTAGTCAAACAGTCCATACGGACCTTCTTGTAATATTGCTATAACTCGCACAATATAGAAATCTCGCAGCTAGTTTGTGTAATTTGCCCTAATTATATTAATAGAATGAGCAAGAAAATATTAATTATTTATATTTTTGACATATTTGTGACAAAATATCATATTTTTTGTTTAGAAATATCTCAAATTTTATTTTTATTTTTATTTTTTTAAAAAATAAAGCGCTGGGAAGTTTCCAAAAAATTTGCCATACCTTTATTAGCCTATAAAAACAATGCTACACAACTCTTCAAGACTCGGAGAGAGAGAGAAGGAGAAGGAGAATAAATCTGGTGGAGTACCTTCCTATCTTAACCATATTTTTTTTTTTTTTTTATTTTCACTAAATTTTGCTAGTGTTATGTTATTTGAAAGATGATTATATTTGTGTTTGCTTACATCGTTTATAATCTCTGTTCCGCACCGAGATTTGAATACAAAATCTATGTTAGGGCACATAAATTTGGTTTATTTACACAGTTCTATGAATTCTGGATTGTAATTTTGGGTCTGTTGACTGATAAAGTACACACAAATATATATATATATATATATATATATATATATATGTATATGTATTTCTGGGTTTTCACACATACACTGTTATATTGGATTCCATATGCTGCTTTTGATTCTGAGGTATTTTGGTCTAATTTTTGTTCAGGTGACCTGTTTCTTAGCTGGAGTATAATGGCAGCGCCCTTTAAACTAAACAATCCATTTGATCACCCTTTCTTTGATTCATCTTATTTATTTGCGGCTGTACGCGCTAGACGGATTTCCGAGAAATTGAACCCTGGTTTTAACTTTCTGAAAAACCCTATTACTACTACCCCCAGTGAAAAAGCTAGTGGTACTTGGTGTCTTTGTTTTTAGTTAATCCTATGCCCCTATATTTTTGTGCTGCTTTTGACACTCAGGTATTTTGGGCTAACTTTTGTTCAGGTGACCTCATTCGTAAAATGTTGTTATTTCGAAAAGAAGATCCATATGAGCACCCATCGTTCACTGATCCTGCTATAACCCACAAAGAATTACACTATGAAGGTAACACTTATAAGCATTCTATCTCAAGCGAAAACACGCCATTACATTCCCCAGTGAAAATGCTAGTGGTACCTGGTGTCTGCATTTAATTAATCCTATGCGACTTTGTTATGAATGTATATATCATAATAGTTTATTTGTTAACAAGTAGAACAAATTGTGGTTCATTCCACAGGGAACCAGAGCTTCAGCTTCCAAAGTGATGCACCTGGTGGACCCGAAGGAATCTGCCACACTTCTTCTATGGCTAGGGGTGCTAGCACCTGTGATGGAGTAAGTTTCTTATTTCTGATGTAGAAGTTTATCAATTAGGGGATTGGATTTCTTATGGTTAATGAAAGGTTTATGTTTTTCTTTTTCTCTTTTATTTTTTATGTTTTGGTTACATATGTTTTATGTTGCCTTTGTTTGAGAAATAGGTGGGTCTATTAGAGACGAGAGAAGAAGGAGATAAGACAATGAGTCAACCACTGCAAAATCTATGTTAGTGTACCTAAATTTGGTTTATTTATAGAGTTGTATGAGTTCGGGGTTGTAATTTTGGGTTTATTGACTGATAAATTAATGTTTGCATCTACACACACACATATTTGTAGTTCTTGGTTTTCACACACAAACACTGTTATGTTGGATTCCATATGCTGCTTTTGATTCTAAGGTATTGCGGTCTATTTTTGTTCAGGTGACTTGTATCCTAGCTTGCGTGAAGTAGCAGTGATCCTTCAAGAAAATTTAGAAAACAATCCATTTGATGACCCATTCTTCACTGTTCGTCCATTTTTTTTAAATCCTGCTTCACGTCTTTATCACCAATTTGATGGAAAATCTAGTTCTGAGCGGCAGTTGAAGGAAATAGCTGTTGAAGAATTGCACTCTGATGATAACTCTCAGAAGCTTTCATTCTCAGTTGATAAACCGATTATTACTTCCCCCAGTGAAAATGATTGTGGTACCTGGTGTTTTTGCATTTAATTGATCCTATGCGCCTTTGTTTTGAATGTATATGTCATCATAGTTTTTTTGCTAATAAGTAAACAAATTGTGGTTCATTCCACAGGTAACCAGACCTTCAGCCTCCCAAGTGTCGCACCTGGTGGACCCGAAGGAATGTATCACACTTCTTCTACAGCTAGGGGTAGCACCGGCGGAGTAAGTTTCTTATTTCTGATGGAGAAGTTTATCAATTAGGGGATTGGATTTCTTTTCATCTTTTGGTTACATAATTTTTATGTTGCCTTTGTTTGAGAAATAGGTGGTTCTATTAGAGATGAAAGAAGAACATAAGACAATGGGTGAAGCATTGCATACTACTGCTAAAGGGATCAAAGGGAAGGTATTTGACTTGATGTTCTTTTGTAGTCTCTATAGAAGCATGACCATAAATTGTTTTTTATTTATTTATTGGTAATTTTTTTAATTTATAAGTAAGTGGAGGATCCCACTTATGACCATAAATTGATTCAATATAATTAATTTTTATTTATTTATTTTTTTGAGGAATGTTTGTATCATACCAAAGTCTTTTGGTTTCACTTCTTGCTCTTAGGGGCCTATCCTACACCAATAAATTATTTTAAGGATAGGGATCTAATAATAAACACTGTGACTGCTTAATTTATAAGGTTGAGTTGAATTTGAGTGATTTTTTTTTTATTTTTTTTATTTTTTATAAGTAATTGAATTTGAGTGAAATTGTCTCATATAAGAACAATTTCAAAACTTTATATATATAAACTATTTTCGAACCAGAAACCTGCATGGAAATGTCAGATGACAGTCAATCTCTTAAATAAAAATTTCAAAATCCATCACAAGAATCCACCGAAACAGTTTTCCATGAGCATTTCTTCAATCGACTCTGATAGTTTCGAAAGTGTGTTTGACCCATATTATATGTCGATGTCCGTGTCGTGGGCACAACAGGGACCTTGAGGTCTAACATGGCAAGTCCAGGTAACATAGCTTCCTTGCATCCTCCCTTATAAATGCCAGCAACTTGTCTTCCCAAGTTATGTGGGATGTCACATGTTCTTTGCTTTCTTGACATCTTTGTTTAACCCATGCCAGGACATTAAATTCTTGATTGTCTATCGTATTATGGCTGATCCTACAATCGTCTTACAAGTTTGTTTCTTCAGTTTGATAGGCGTCGTTGATTGCAGGACTGAAAAGTTCATGCACTCTGATAATTCTGTGATTTGATTCTTAATTTGATATTATAACATCGCGTATTAGTATAACTCTAAAATTGGGGAAAAAACCAAAGAAATAAGTATGTTCTATAAGGGATTATATTTTGTGCAGCATTTATTTGTTTCTCTTATTGCATTATTATATGTATATACAATTTGTAACAATGGTATTTTTTTCCCTGAATGTTTGTCTTTCTATGCAGGTAGAATCATAATGCATTTGCTGCCATGGGATCTCCCATGGTCCATTTAAAATAACATGTTGTATTCCCAGTTAATTGCTTGGGTCTGCTTCTTCATTGCATTTGCAAGAAATAATTGGTTATCTGCTCTTTAGTTTGGAACTTGGATGTGACTTTCTCACAGCTGAGTATTGAAGGGCTAATTCTGCTTTTACAGGCTTTCATGATGTCTTTTGATGATGTGGCTTTAAGAATTGCATTATCGGTGTTGTTTACGATTTTTTCCTGAAACGTATCCTTGGTTAAATTCACCATTTTCCCCAATGTGTAGAGGGTAGCCGCAGAGGATGGAGTGGCCACCAGATTTGGGATGATTGGGTCTCTGCCATCTGCCAAGCACGAAGGAATGAAACCAGATGCTGGAGCTAAGACTCTTTCTTCTGGGCCGAGAATTAAAAAAACCAGATATTAACAGGACTTGTTGCTTAGTGGTTCAGCTTTGATGATACTTGTGGTTCTTCTCCTCCAATCTGACTTACAAATATGGGTTTGTGAAAAGTAACTGTGTAACTTTCTTGTTGCCATCTAACTTTTTTGTGTAATGTCAAGTTGAACAACGGAAATCTTAGGTATCTTCGATAGTGGATTGTTGATATGTCTTATGAGAGGAGATTTATGGTATCAGTTTATCTTGATGATTCATTATGCGTCTAGACGAACTCATAGTTAATTGTAACTGAAAACACAAGAAAAGAGTCGATGAATATTTCATGTGTCTGCGCATATTTATACATGTTTGATAGCTTGGAGATTTACGGTGTGTGTGTGTTCTGTTAGAATGTTCAGGTATGCCAAAGAAAAAATACACTTTGAAAATGTTAAACGTTGCCTTTTTAGGTTCAGTCAAGAAAAACTGTCCAGTATCGGGACATTTTAACTAAACAAGTGAATTTTGAATAATTGTAGGCTTCCTTCAAGGATCATCATCATTGGTCGAATATGAGATGGTTAATGAAATTGTTTTAGTCGATGAAACCAGAGAAGGAGATAAAGCTAAGTTGGAGGTTTGGGGAGAAACTAGGTTTAAGATAAATTGAAATAATGGAATTTATTTCAATAAATCTAGAAATTTAAATGATATGATGGCTTCTTTCTTTTAGAGAGAAAGCACGCTAATACCTGGAGATTCATACCCAAATGGACTGTGGGATGCAAAATATGTAAACTATTTTGTTGAAAAAAGTTGTGGAGCCCCATTTTGTTTTTAGTTTGCCTTTTATACCCTTGGATGCCCTAGGCATTTAAATTTTATAAGGCTGGTCAAGATTAGTAATAACACGGTCGTTTAGCTCTAAATGTCCTGTTTTGATTATGTATTTCCTTCTTTTTGTTCTGTTGGATAGAAGAGAAAAAAATTAACTCCTAATTTACTATGTTCGTTACAAGAGAATTAAAGAGAAAGTTTTAATTATTTTATCATTATATTCAATAATATTTATAATATTATACTACCTCCGTCCCTTTTTAATTGTCCATTCTTGATTTAATAACTTTTTAAGGGGATATGCAATTAATGCATTGTCCCCTTTTAAAATTACCAAATTATCCTTTTTAATTTAAATATATATAGTTACAAAGTTTGAAATTTTTTAAAAAGATAAAAGACAATAATGAAAATATAAAGAAAAGATGCTTTGACTTTTCAAAGTGGACAACTAATTTGGAACATGTAAAAAGAGAAAAATGGACTACTAATAAAGGACGGAGGGAGTAATTTATATAGAATAATACTGTAATTTTAAACTTGTAGAAATTAAGATAGTATTTAATTTAAAACTTCTATAACAATTCATTTATCTTCCCTCTTGTCCTCTACCCATTTTTGATTGGATAAAAATTCGTAAAGGAGTCCTATTCTCCTTTTATCTACTTAACAAAATAAATTTGTCCATTCGTTTCTCTTCTCTCTACACTTTTTCTTTCCAAACATAGTATAAGTGAAATTAAGATTGCTTAATTGATTTGGCATGCTAATACAATAATCACTTATTTTGCTAGTATTCTTATCGTGGTTTACAGCCTCAACTATTGCATCAAGAACCTTTTTTTTTTTCCGAAAATTTGCATCAAGAACTTATCTAACATTGATGATCCCATTTGTCATTGTCCTCCCATATGCAATATAAAGAAGAATCTTCAAGAAAATAAAAAGGTAAATTTTACCTACACCCTGACATTTGCCAATATTTCACACAAATCCTCTTTACATTTCATAATTTCACCTACACCTCGTCAGTAACCGCACCGTCTAGTTTACTAACGGAAATGTATAATTTTACGAAAATATATAATTTTACTATTCTACCCTTGAATTATATATTAATATTTATAAAAATTTATAACTTAAAAGGAAAAGACTTTAACACTCTATTTATCTCTCTCTTTACTCCCCAGACACATGCATACACATTGCATATATCCTTTCTTCTTTTTTTCATTTTTTTTTTTCCTTTCTTCCTCATTATTGCCGGCAACAAAGAATCTATGCCACCGATAGAATACACAAACAGCAACCACCGAAAAAAATTATGCAAACGCCAGTGACCAAAACTCAAAGTGGGTCAGTGATGATATTGTTGTCTGAGATCGGTGATTTCGGTTCGTATTGCAACGAGAAGGGTCTTGACTCATCGCCGGCTTCTTTTGTTGCTATTGCAGCTAGGGTGTGTGTATGGATGGTAATCAGACGACGGAGAGAATCGCCAAGTTGGTCTCTGCTTGGAGTATTGCCTATCGTTCAGTTCCTCAGGTTTTCAAAATCGCCGTTCAGTCTTTGCCGGCACCTCCAGCTTCAGTCCTTACTCCTCGCCAAGCACCTCAAGCTTCAGTCCTTACTGCCCACCGTTCAATTGCAAGGACAGTTCGCTGGATTTTTCTCCACTTTAGTGATATGCCTAAACGGCTGCTCGCTGGACTGAATTGGGTTTTGTCAAATTTGGTTCATTCTAGCTTTGAGCTCGACGTATTTAGTGGTGAAGAACGGACAAAATGATGGCGACAGAACTCCAGTAGTCGAGAAATCAGTTTCCACCGAAGAGGTCGGTGGAGTTACGACAAGAGTTAGCATCGTAGAGGGAGTCACTGTCGTCAGAGCTTCCTTTCGTGTTGTCCTTGTCATAACCGGTCTTGGGATCGACGAAGTGCAACCACTCCGACACGGGTTCTTATCACAGCTGCCGTCCACCATTGCAAGCTTCGCTGGACTGAACTAAACTTCACCTAAGTTGGGATCGCCATACTGAATTGAGTGAAGCGATCTCCGGAGAGTTACAATACCAATCTTGCCATTTCTCCACCTCGACCTGCCACCATGGTCGACCACCAACCACTAAGCATCCGGAGAGTTACAAAACCAATCTTGCCATTTCTCCACCTCGACCTGCCACCACGGTCGACCACCAACCACTAACCACCACGTACATATACGCATACACATGTACACAGACACATACACACACAGACACACATACATGACATAAGTGTGTGTGTGTATATATAGTTTTGTAATTATGCATTGTCAATAAGGTTAAAGATGTCATTTTAAGTATTAGAGGGCAAAATTGACCTTCTACCGATTTTTTCATGATGACATCAGCACACACCGTCAATGGCTTAACGACAGGGAGTAACTTGCTAGGTAAACCCAAACCTCAAGGGAAGTTGGTGGAATAATGAAACTTGGAGGGTGTGTAGGTGGAATTTACCCAAAATAAAATTATGTGGCTTTGAGTAGCATATTACAAAACTATACTTAGGCATGTTACCACACCAACAAGAACTCCCACCACTACACTAGCAGATAAACTGATCAAGTTATCCAACATCATATTTTTCAACATTCATTCATTCACAAACAAATCAATAAATCAATGATCATTCACTAATAAAAGTCAATCAACTCCATCCGTATAATGTTTGCATGCTTCCCAGAATTTTATCAACGATCATTCACTAATAAAAGTCAATTCATTAATTACAAACATGCTTCCAAGAATTTTAAAATTGCCCATTCACTCTCTGGCCATTGCCCACATTATTAAAAACAGTGGGCTTACTAAACCTCCCACTATACATGTATCCAAAAAAAATTCACTTTGATCTTCTTCAGCAAAAACTATCCACGGGCGAAAGCAAACTGAAAAAACACATAAAGGTAATGTCCACAATAAAAGCAAACCAACACAAAGTTGTGACTTACAGATCTTTCCTTCTGGAGAGTACTATCTCTGCAATTTGGTTCATCCTCCTTCCTATAACTGTTGTCATCTATCATTAATAACTAACCATATACGATCAACAACTAATATAAACTTAACAAGCTGAGGCTAAAAAGTAAGGTATAACAATTAATAACCAACATACTGTAATTAACTTGACATATAAAAGGGGCTACTACAGAGTATCATTAACCAAAATGTAGCCAATAACAAGGTATACAATTAACTATCTATCTATCTATCATTAACAACTAAGCATATATAATCAACAACTAATATAAACTTAAACAACCCAAGGCTAACAACCAAGGTATAACAATTAATAACTACACTAATGATAGAGAAAGGCCACGTCATTACGCCAGTCTTAAAGAAAGACTCTCTCTTACATGGTGGTATAACTGAAAGGGAAAAAAAAAAAAAAAAAGGAAAGAAAACAAAGAAAAAAAACTTCCTCTTTCCCCTCACAAGCAGGATACTAAAAACTCTGAAAATTACTTGTTCACGTGTTTCCATAAATCTAAATTACAAAATAAAAATTCATAGAACTATAAATCATTTTAATAACCAAAACTTCCTTAACTATTGATTTTAACAAAACAAATAAAGTATTATCTATACTCTGTTATGTATGATTTAGAATATATATATATATATATATATATATATATATATATATATATATATTTATAAGAGCCGGGGAGTTGAAACTGCAGCCATTGATGAAGCAGCAGGAAAACCAAAAAACTCCACTTCCAATTGATCTAAACATTTTATGGTTATCTGTACTTAAATCTTTATCATCAAGTTGTGGATTTCTTGAAATTGGCGAGATGGGTGTTGGAATTTCTCTTTCGTTTTCATTCTAACTCTCTAAAAAAAAAAAAGAACATCATAAAAAATGCCATCAACCCAGCCCAATCAAAAGTGTCATCAACCTTATCACACTTTTGATTCTCTATGCTACAAACCTCCCCCTTGGTGACCTCTCATGCCTTTTGGACATTTGGGTTATTGGTCCTTTGCCTGTGTTTATGTGCCTCAAGTTGGTAACCCCTTCAAATCAGCATCCATTTGTTGTTGAGAGAACAACAGAAAGCTCTAGACTCATTACTCAAATATTTGTTGCCCTTAATCAATCTCATCTCTTTTCTAAATTTTAACTATCAACCTAGTAGTGACGACCAAGTGTTGCAATCCATTAGTACCTTCTTTACATCCAACTAAGGCAATGACTTTATTGAGTCTGTGATCGAGTTTCAACTTTTGCAAATAAAATATAATACTTTCTTTTTTTTTTTGATAAGTAAATTGTATAAAAAGCGTTCAAAAAGGGGAACGCGACCCAAACTATACAAAGACAAAACGGAGCCTATGAATTCAAAGAACTCATAAAGTCAACAATCTCCTCAAGAGAGGAGTAGTCTCTCCCCTGACCCCAACAAAACAAATTACAAATGATAGAAAATTTTAACACCCCAATGGAGGATTCCTTTCCTTCAAAAGATCTTCCATTACGCTCTCTCCAAAGGCTACACCAAATACAAAAAGGGATCACCCTCCAAAAAACTCTGACCTGAGCCCCCACCCATTGGCCCCTCCACATATCTAACAACTCCTAAGATGTCCGAGGCATGACCCAATGAATACCAAACAGGCCAAACATCAAACTCCAACAATCATGAGCCACAGGACAGTGCAACAAAAGATGATCCACCGACTCCCCATTAATCTTGCAAAGACAACACCTATTAACAATGATATGTCTTCTCTTTCTCAAGTTGTCCAATGTCAAAATCTTACTCCAAGCAGCAGTCCACACAAAAAAGGTCACCTTAAGAGGCGCCTTAGACCTCCACACCGTCTTCCATGGGAATGAGGTACCATGAAAACCAGAAAGGCACACAAAAAAGGACCGGACCTGGAACATCCCCTGAGAAGAAGGCACCCAAATCAAGGAATCTGCCCCAGACCCCTCCACCTCCTGTCCGTAAAGAAGAGCCAAAAACCCAGTGACATCATCCAGCTCCCAATCCTGAAAAGCTCGCCGGAAACGCACATCCCAAGACAACCTTCCACTATCAAGGCGATAATAGTTAGCAACCATTGCATGTTTGTCAACAGCAATCCTAAAAAGCCTGGGAAACAAAAGGGCAAAGGCCTATCCTCACACCATGGATCCTCCCAAAACCGGACAATTCTTCCATCCCGAACTCTGAATCTAATATGTTTGGAAAAGGCATCCCATCCCTTACCAATGGCCCTCCACACCCCCACTCCGCCAACAGACCTGACTGATCTAGCTGACCACCCTCCTCTCTCCTCCCCAAAGCGACATGAGATAACCTTTCTCCATAATCTATGTCTTTCCTTACCAAATCTCCAAAGCCACTTACCAAGAAGAGCACAATTGAAAGTGGCCAATCTCCTAATTCCAAGCCCTCCCAACCAAATAGGCCTGCAAACCTGTTCCCATTTGACAAGATGATACTTGAACTCTTCACCGCGACCCCCCCAAAGGAAATTACGTTGGAGCATTTCTAGTCTTCCTACAATAGAGGCTGGAATACAAAAAAGTGAAAGAAAGTACGTTGGAAGGCTTGACAAAGTGCTCTTCACTAACGTAACTTTACCGCCCTTTGACAGATATTGTTTTTTCCAACCCGCTAATCTTCTCTCGACCCGCTCAATCACCGGGTTCCAACTTCCCACCCTCCTAGCCGAGTCCCCCAGCGGCAAACCCAAGTACGAGATGGGAAAGCGTTGTGTCCCACATCCTAGAACAGCAGCCAGAGTGTCCACCTCCTAAACTTCCCCCACAGGAACAATCACACTCTTTCCCACGTTAACTTTCAAACCAGAAACAGCCTAGAAGCAAACCAAGACACATCGCAGATACCTCAACTGGGAAATATCAGCCTCACAAAAAACAATACTAAAATAATACTAAAATTATACATATAATAAATAAATAAATAAATTAGAATTAGAGGCATTGTTTTATAATAAATAGATGCAATGCTAAACTATCTTTAAGGTTTTTTTTTTGGTAGAAAGTAGAACCCTACTGTATATTTTTTTTGTTTTCTAAATTGAAATTATTTATCGTCCCAAGGGGAGTTCCATACTCTCCTCAAGCTTTCAATTGGTAATAGACTCAAACATTCCCACATGACTGATCACACCACCCACCCAACCCCACTACAAACCTCCCCTTGGTCTACTCAACCATCAATTTGCACCTTGCCATGTTTTTTTTTTTTTAACCATAATTTCATGATTTAGGCATGTTACTAAGCAACCACAGACAAATCATCAAAACAAAACACAAGACAATTTCTCAAATAGACCAAAAAATTAAAATACACTGCATTACTATATACCGGAAGAAATTCTGGTAGAAATTCTGGTCCAGCAGCTGGTATGTGCCCGCAAGGACAAAGAGGTACTTCCACTTGCATTGGAGGCAGGCAAATGAAAAACGGAGATCCCCTGACGATGATTTGATAATGTGACGTTTTGAGCAATGACATGTAAAGAGTAGCTCCTGCGGTAATTAAACCTAAAAAAGAGTTATAATTGGAAAAGAAAGGGAAAAACAACTAATGCTGAAAAGATTGTAATCTTACATGAACACACGCAACGTCCGGTAAATCTTTATATGGAATGGTCTCCGCGGCAGTGAGGGCTTTGGAGACAGAGTCCGGATACTGCTCTAGTATATGAAAGTTGACTTCTCCTTGACAAATCATACATTGGACATTCAAAAAGACATTGTTGCTGGAAACACTGATATTATGGAAGGTCGCACATTCACAGTTCACAATCTAAACAAGAAAATGGCTATGTCAGTCGATTGAACCAAAAAAAAAAAAAGAGGTTAGTGCCTGTATTATTGGAAGTTGTGGTGGGAGCTCCAGCTGGGGCTTGGGTTGCGGCTGAATCTTCTCCAGAGAAGCAAAGGCTTTGAATAAGTAATACCTCTCGCAATCCTCACACGAGAATCGATAAGCATAGTCATTTCTGTCAAGTATGAACCTGTATGCAGTAGGACATACGCACACAACACCAAAACGTGGGAGATCGTTAGGAATGGCGTCAAGTTGAATGGCGTCAAGTTCAACTGGCTGCGGCAGAACCGGCAAGGGCACCGGAGGACCTGGTGGCGACGGAACTGGCTGCGGTGGCAGTGGATTCCCGGAACCGCCGCACTCTATCTTCATCCGCTTTGAAGATTCGCCCGCCATGGTGTTTCTCTTGAGCTGAACCCTAGCCCTATGAGGATGTCTGAACAGAGATTAAAGTTTAAAACCTTCGGTTGCGTTGTGGGCTTTTGGGCCTTTGGCCGATAATTAGACCTATTAAATTACAAATACTACCCCTCTAATTTCAAATATATCAGTTCACTTCCCTTGTAAAATTTGACTCTTATCCAATGATGCCTTCAGAATGCCCTTAAAAAACTTAAATTTTTATTAGTTATTTAACACATTCAAATTAAAAAACACTTACACAGAATGTAAGTGTTGAAAACGGAGCTTACAAAACACAAATTTTTAACGAAATTTTGAGTAGATCCTACTAAAATTTTCTTGTGAATCTATAAACCCTCTCTATAAAGAGATGAATATTTTTAAAAGAAATTATTTTATTTTAAAGGTTTTTATATGAATCGCACATGTTATTATGCAAGTACTATTAGATGAATTAAGTGTAAGGCATCTTCTTAATTTTTAAACATTTCTTACTTTTTGAAAAACAAAATCCTTATCATTAAAAGAGTTTATTGTTAACTATTATTCCGTTTCGAATTCTACATGGTCGAGGCATTTTTTTATTATAAAAGTGTAAGCATTTTCTTAATTTCCAATCATTTTTATTTTTGTTAAAAACATCATTAAAAGTGAAACGAAATTGAATAATAAGTTAATAAACATTGCCTTAATTATTAGGGTAAATTACATTGGCACCCCTTCAAATTAGGTCAAATCTCAACTATATGAATATTTTAGTTTTAACTTTCAATTACACCCCACATTGCCTTTTGGACTCTGACACCTACGAATTGATCCATTTATCCTTAATTTTTAATACAATTTAATACATAAATTATCTATAATCTTAAATGACAAAAATGCCCTATATATATATATATATATATATATATATATATATATATATATTTTAAACTAACACAGTTTATATTTATTTATTTTTTTCCTTTTTTTCATCTCCACTATCCACGGATATTTGCAAGTCTAGAGATGTCACAGACATAAAAATGGGGAAGTAGCCCTGAACCCCATAGAGCACCCAGCATAGAGACAACCACCTCCCTTCTATTAAGCCAACAAAACTTTAACAAGCGATACCGTAGCCACCCGATGCCAAACATTTGCGTAATATTATCATCACCGACCATGGGTTCCAACGATTGCAACACCACCACCGGATACTGCATCACCACTATCCCCATCTCCAGTATTTCTCGATCACCATAAGCACCTCGTCAATTTCGAATCTCGATAGAATTACGATCTGTAACAACCCAAATCCGGTGGATCCAAGTCGTCAACAGGCAATGATCCGATCCCGGATCCTTACTCGACCAAGATCGTACTAGGGTTAAAACAATCATTTTCTACTAAGGATGGAGGATGAGTTAACTCTAAATGAGTCAAATTGAGTTCATTCTAATCACATTAATCAATTAAACGCATTCCATAAGTTTTCGGTGACTGTAGTTATGGTTTTCCACAAATAGGCCCCTACGGTTTAGGAGATTTCAGGAACAGTATGCACTAAAATGGTCATGCTAAGGGATTTTGAAACACAACTTAATTCATTATAGAATTTCATATAGCTCAAACATTGAAATGCATGCAATGCATTATAGAAACCGCATACCACTCACACAATCCAATTCCATACATACACCCATACCGAAAATGTACTAACTAACAGGGCTTTGGATACCTTCATCCGTTTCTAGGGAGAATTTGCAATCGTACCTGGCAATGGGGTACCTTCCTATTATCATTTGGGGCTCAAGTCACTAAATTACTCTTAGGTACCTCCAGTGCCCCTATAAGCCAACTAGCACCTCCGAATAAAGGGGGATACCTCACCAATTCCAGGTTTGAAAAAAACTTTTCTCCATAAACTTCTCAAATTCAATTTCCACATTCCACATTCTCATACACATCACCACTCACACACCCTATAAAGTATATGAATGTCATGAAATGAAACATTGCCATACATGAAATGATCAATACTTTTCGTCTCTTCACAATTGTTAGCTAATCATAGGCATGTTTTTCCTTACCACAATTAACAAATGAGAATTCATGTAGGCATTTATTCAAACATATAACATGCCAAATGAATATACATTTAACCTTAAAGTAAGAAAGCACAAATTAGTCATATTGATCATGAATTTCTCAAATAGCAAGAAGGAAAGCACAATTATCACATATAAACACATAAGAGGCATGGAATTTCCATATGCTTCAACAAGTAAACATGAGTCAAATATGTAAGAAATTGTGATAGCCCTCGATTTCAAAACACAGGTTGATCAGGTCCGCGTACAAAACCGAAGGATATCAAAACAATTAGGTAATAAACGAACACAGAGTACAAAAGGATAATAAAGAATAAATAAATAACGCTGAAAAGAAAACTAAATATTAATTAATCAATTAAATCCTCCAAGAATAAAATCCATTAAATGATAACTATCTCTGATACTAATAATCCTCTAGAATACAACTCGGGAATCCATACCATGTAGACCCCTAATAAATCCCAACTGAAAATTAAATAATAGTAAAAACTATTTGAACCAAATACTAAAACATAAAATAGAATCCTACGTAGATAATCGAAAGAGTGATGAAGACTAGTTTCTACTTTGCACGAAGAATCTCTAAGCCTGATTTTGATGAACACTTGAAAAATAATACTGGGTCAGGCCCACGAACAAGTCATTTTTACTAAATCCCAAAAAGAGACCCTATACACGAATACATCCTAGTCAACTCATACAATAGTTACGTAGTCCGTATATATATATAGATATAGATACACACTAAAGGACTCTCACTGGATTATAGGGTGGACTCAACCGCATAGTAGGTAACATGCAAAACGCACACCAGGTGGGCATGAGTACCATCATCTACCAGGGCACATAACAATCTACTAGATCCAACTATACATCCCCAAGATAATATACGCTCCCTAACCACTGATCTTGAGACCTCACGCTCATATCGTGACACATATCCATATCCTATCCAAATATAAAATAAACTATCTATCATAATCTTTCAATGGAATGTCATCCACATATGAATCCGTGACCTAACACGAAGTATGAGACTAAACTTATTAGCCAGCTCATCCATAATATGCCCCCATGTCCTAACAATAGTGCATAAATCCAAAATCATATCCTGACAATGGTTCCCAATCCAATGATGCAAGCATGCATGTACATCAAATGTTCAAGAAATAGACATGATAATAATCATACAAAGATCTATTGCATTTAATTAAACAAGACACAACAATTCTAAGTAGCATGTAGTTAACTTACAAAACAAGTAATTAACTTACATCTCAATTAAATTACATAAACCTTCATATTGTTGCATGCTATTGTATATTATGCATTTTGGGAATTAATTGGGTCCATTTAAATCATCTAATACGATCTAAATAGCCTTGGAATTAGGGGTGGGCAAAAAATTCGCGAATCTGTGGATCCCATCCAATCTATACGGATCGGATCAGATTGCTAGAGCCATGGATCAGTAGCAGATTCAAAAAAAATTGAATCCGTAATTCACGGATTAGGTTGTTAAAATCCGATCCGATCCGTGAATCCGATTCGTAGCATATATATATATATATAATATTAATATTATATAATACAATTATATACAGTTTAGTTTTTTACTATATAACATGTTAATATTATATAATATAATATACAATTATACAATTGAGTAACTTTACTCTTATCAATCCTAACCTAGCCAAAGAACTCAAAATTGCCGCCTCACCTCTCTTATTCTTATTTTCCTTATAGTCTTCTTCTCCACAACATTGTATCTTCATCATTTGTTAACCTGAGTTCACCCTAGGCCGCAACAATGACATTTTCACGAAACTATGCTCGAGCACACGAAAATGTGGATGGCTTAAAATTGGTTTCTCGAGCTGTTTCACGAAACAGTGCCCGAGCACATTGTTCTGGAAAACAGTGCTCGGGTGCACTAAAGAGGTTACTCGAGCACCCTCTAGGGATTTTTGATAAAAATGTTTAAATTGACCCCGAATTGATTATATAAAGTCTCGAATACTAAATAGGGACTTAGGTATGATGATATGTGAATTTAAATAAGCATGCATGAATACAACAATGCATGCAATTTAAATTTATTTAATAAAGAATTGATGAATTTAATATTTTAATTTATTTTAACAATTGAGATTATGTGATGTGTTTGGAGAATGCTTACTTAGATGTAAATATAAATTACAGCATGTTTAAGATTCGGTTTATGTGAAATAAATGATGTACGAAGCTTAAATGAATTTATAACTCATTCATGTGATTTGATAACATGAAATTATATGTTTTGTGTTGTTATGATATGATATGATTATAATCAATTGCATAACTGTAATTTATAATCTTGAAACATGATATATATTTATATATTCGGATTTGTTTGAGGACTAATGTTAGGATTTGGTTCTATGAATGTTATTGTCAAGATATGGCTTTGTTTTGCATTAGGTTGATGAGGTGGCTAATAAGCTTAGACTCATTCTATGTCAGGCCATTATTAGGATATGGATAACATGTCATTGTCAAGATATGGCTATTATATTATATTTTTATAAATTCCAGCCTATTGTCAGGATATGGGTATGGTTGTTATCTGTAAACCATTGTCAGGATATGGTTAATTATATCTATAATGATATTATATGTACCTTGATACAAGTTCGAGATATTGGGATCAGTGGTTAGAATGTAGGCGTATATTGCCAATTGAGATGGGTAGTTGGATCAGGGATGTATGTGCCCTGGTAGAAGGAAGACTCGTGACCACCTTTGTGTGTGATTTACATGAGATATCCACTACAATGTTGAGTCTGCCTTAATCCAGTGAGAGTCTTTAGTGTGTATATTTATATACTTATTGACTATGTAGTTATTGCATGAGTTAGGTATAGATGT